CGGGCGAAGAACACTTTTCTTGAAACCTAATGAGAGCCTTGACAGGCTCAGAGCGCTCGGCCTGGGTGTGGCCGGTCCTTTCTTCCTCCCTTCCTTTAGATTGTAGTACCAGGCACACGTTGAAAATCAGACTAAGTGTTTTGAGAAAAAACCTAAGTGTTTAGGCTGTAGGACCAGGCACACGTTGAAAATCAGACTAAGTGTTTTGAGAAAAAACCTAAGTGTTTAGGCTGTAGGACCAGGCACACGTTGAAAATCAGACTAAGTGTTTTGAGAAAAAACCTAAGTGTTTAGGCTGTAGGACCAGGCACACGTTGAAAATCAGACTAAGTGTTTTGAGAAAAAAAACCTAAGTGTTTAGGCTGTAGGACCAGGAACACGTTGACAATCAGACTAAGTGTTTTGAGAAAAAACCTAAGTGTTTAGGCTGTAGGACCAGGAACACGTTGAAAATCAGACTAAGTGTTTTGAGAAAAAACCTAAGTGTTTAGGCTGTAGGACCAGGCACACGTTGAAAATCAGACTAAGTGTTTTGAGAAAAAACCTAAGTGTTTAGGCTGTAGGACCAGGCACACGTTGAAAATCAGACTAGGTGTTTTGAGAAAAAAAACCTAAGTGTTTAGGCTGTAGGACCAGGAACACGTTGAAAATCAGACTAAGTGTTTTGAGAAAAAACCTAAGTGTTTAGGCTGTAGGACCAGGCACACGTTGAAAATCAGACTAAGTGTTTTGAGAAAAAACCTAAGTGTTTAGGCTGTAGGACCAGGCACACGTTGAAAATCAGACGAGGCCGTTCGAATGGTACGGCATGCCTCTGCAGGGCCCCTGGTTGAAGTTATTCGAGCCGGAAGGTTCCTCCACACAGCATGCCTGACTCTATTCGCATGGCTCCGGCGCGGGCTAGGGGCTATCGGCGGACCTGTCGGTGGCGAGACCGAAACGCCCTGTCTCTCCCGGATGCACAGAGACGCCAGACTCCCACCTCGGGGTGCTGGGGCTGGGCCCTTATAGGCGCGGTGGTCGGGCGAAGAACACTTTTCTTGAAACCTAATGAGAGCCTTGACAGGCTCAGAGCGCTCGGCCTGGGTGTGGCCGGTCCTTTCTTCCTCCCTTCCTTTAGATTGTAGTACCAGGCACACGTTGAAAATCAGACTAAGTGTTTTGAGAAAAAACCTAAGTGTTTAGGCTGTAGGACCAGGCACACGTTGAAAATCAGACTAAGTGTTTTGAGAAAAAACCTAAGTGTTTAGGCTGTAGGACCAGGCACACGTTGAAAATCAGACTAAGTGTTTTGAGAAAAAACCTAAGTGTTTAGGCTGTAGGACCAGGCACACGTTGAAAATCAGACTAAGTGTTTTGAGAAAAAACCTAAGTGTTTAGGCTGTAGGACCAGGCACACGTTGAAAATCAGACTAAGTGTTTTGAGAAAAAACCTAAGTGTTTAGGCTGTAGGACCAGGAACACGTTGAAAATCAGACTAAGTGTTTTGAGAAAAAAAACCTAAGTGTTTAGGCTGTAGGACCAGGAACACGTTGACAATCAGACTAAGTGTTTTGAGAAAAAACCTAAGTGTTTAGGCTGTAGGACCAGGAACACGTTGAAAATCAGACTAAGTGTTTTGAGAAAAAACCTAAGTGTTTAGGCTGTAGGACCAGGCACACGTTGAAAATCAGACTAAGTGTTTTGAGAAAAAACCTAAGTGTTTAGGCTGTAGGACCAGGCACACGTTGAAAATCAGACTAAGTGTTTTGAGAAAAAACCTAAGTGTTTAGGCTGTAGGACCAGGCACACGTTGAAAATCAGACTAAGTGTTTTGAGAAAAAACCTAAGTGTTTAGGCTGTAGGACCAGGAACACGTTGAAAATCAGACTAAGTGTTTTGAGAAAAAACCTAAGTGTTTAGGCTGTAGGACCAGGCACACGTTGAAAATCAGACTAAGTGTTTTGAGAAAAAACCTAAGTGTTTAGGCTGTAGGACCAGGCACACGTTGAAAATCAGACTAGGTGTTTTGAGAAAAAAAACCTAAGTGTTTAGGCTGTAGGACCAGGAACACGTTGAAAATCAGACTAAGTGTTTTGAGAAAAAACCTAAGTGTTTAGGCTGTAGGACCAGGCACACGTTGAAAATCAGACTAAGTGTTTTGAGAAAAAACCTAAGTGTTTAGGCTGTAGGACCAGGCACACGTTGAAAATCAGACGAGGCCGTTCGAATGGTACGGCATGCCTCTGCAGGGCCCCTGGTTGAAGTTATTCGAGCCGGAAGGTTCCTCCACACAGCATGCCTGACTCTATTCGCATGGCTCCGGCGCGGGCTAGGGGCTATCGGCGGACCTGTCGGTGGCGAGACCGAAACGCCCTGTCTCTCCCGGATGCACAGAGACGCCAGACTCCCACCTCGGGGTGCTGGGGCTGGGCCCTTATAGGCGCGGTGGTCGGGCGAAGAACACTTTTCTTGAAACCTAATGAGAGCCTTGACAGGCTCAGAGCGCTCGGCCTGGGTG